CTATTGCAAGCTTTTAACACGAATATGCGCCGTGCTCAAGCGAGAAAGTCATTTCGGAAAAGACCCCGCCCTCCATCCGTGAAGCTGCTGCGAATCTCAAGCTTCAGGATCACAAGTGACGAGGGAATTTCAAGCGACACACCCAGCCCGCCCTACCGACGCGTATGGGGGTTCGACAGGGACGTCATTTTTTCTCTCTTCCTTGTTATTGATTTATATCGGAAACTCTTTAACATAAAAAGGGAGAAGGGATGGATGCTCCGTAGACCGCCCCACAACTGCCCAAGAGGCCCCTACAAGGGCACCAGGACGGCCCAGGAGGGTTCCAAAGCAGCCGAACGAGGGGCCCAAGACGGCCACATATCGCCCTAAGAAGGTCCCAAGAGAGGCTAAGAGTAAGAACGCGAACCGATCATCCTATCTTTCCGCCCCAAGAGCCCCCCCCCCTCCCCAAAGGCTCCAAGAAACTCCCAAACGGCCCGAAGGAAACCCAACAATAAGCACCAAAATGCCCCCCCCCAAAGACCCCTAAAGAGGCCCCGAAACGGCCCCCAAGACGCTTCAAAACTGCCTCCGGGAGGCTCCACAGAAAACTCCCCGACAGAGCCCCCAAAACGCCCACAGGAATCACCAGATCATGCCCAAGAAGCCCACGACGCCTCAACTGTGGACTCCCCGCCTCTCCTGGGGGTCGGCGGCATGGCGTAAGCCTCTTGGATAAGGGAAAGGGATGGGTGGATGGATGATGATGAGGAGGAGAAGGGGAAGGAGAAAGAGAAGGAGGAGAAGGAGGAGGAGGAGGAAGAGAAACAGGAGCAGGACATATTCTTGAAACTCGAACCTCGAGGGGGCGCGCGCTCGCGCGATCAAGTTTTTCCCAACCATCCTGTGATGTTGGGTCCTCGTTTTGAAAAAACAGCGCCGCGCGTTTCCTCCTCCCGCTGCCCCCCCCCCCATCCTTCCTCCTCGTCCTTGCGTTTGCTCTCCGCATGTCTCTGTTTCGGCACACCCCTCACACGCTTCGTGGTCCCATAGGGAGCTCCGCCTAAGGTCCTGGCGGAACTCGCATGGCGGCCTCGCCCCATTTTGACACACCCCTCACACATTTCGTGGTCCCATAAGAAGCTCCACCTAAGGTCCCAGTGACTGCGTTCGCATGGCCGCCTCGCCCCATTTTGGCACACCCCTCGCACGTCCCGTGGTCCCACAAGGAGCTCCACCTAAGGTCCCAATGGCGGAACTCGCATGGCGGCTTCGCCCAATTTGGGCACACCCCTCACGCGTTTCACGACCCCAAAGGGGGCTCCACCTAAGATCCCAGGGGCGGAACTCGCATGGCGGCCTCGCCCAATGTTGGCATGCCCCTCACAAGTTTCGTGGCCCCATAGGGAGGTCCACCTAAGGTCCCAGGGGCGCAGCTCGCATGGCGGCCTCACCCTATCTTGGCACACCCCTCACACGTTGCGGAATTTCGTGGCCCCATAAGGAGCTCCACCTATGGTGGCAGTGGCGCAGCTCGCATGGCGGCCCCGCCCCATTTTGGCACGGCAGGGTCACCACCACGGTGGCGTGCCAGGGGCGCACCGTGCGCGAAGGCGACGGGGCGAGGGAACAGCGCTCCGGGGCAATTTACGGCCAGACCTGCAAGGGCGCGAGCAGTCCGCAGCCAGACCTTCTCTCGGTCCGTGGACTCTCGCCCTGGGCCGTCGGCTGTCCGGCGCGCTGCTCCCTCGGCCGACACCGCCCAGGCGTGATCCTGGACTGCGGCCGCCACGAGGTCGGGAACGGCAAGGAGGACGACAGAAGGGATGCGACGGCCCTCGCCAGGAAGCTGGGCTTCACCGAATTTATCCGCGAGGCTTGGCCTGAGGAGCGGCCCGCCCGAGCCTCGCCGTCTCTCGACGGTCTTAGTGTTTGGCGTCGCGCCGCGGGCGACCCGCGCGCGTCGCTGGGACCCTCTCGGGGCGACCAGCGCGCGTCGCGGGAATTCCGCATTGCGCTCTGCCCAGAACCTCGCTCGCCCCCGTCGTCGCTCTGCCCAGCGGCCACGGCCTTGCCCGCTATTCAGCCAGCTAGCTCTCTCTGCTCCGCGCAGCGGACGACCCGCGCGCGTCGCCGGGACTCCTTCGGGGCGACCAGCGTGCGTCGCGGGGACTCCGTGCGGCGCCGCGCCCGCAGCCATGGACATCGGAGTGCACGGGCATAGAGGCAGAAACAGAAAGGGAAGGAAGCGGGCGCGATCCTCGTGAGGAGCGTGCCGACATGGGCGTCGACATTCATGCACGTAGACTGACTCGCACGCAGACTCATTCACAATCAGACTCGCTCGCGCTCAGGCTCACCCGTTCTCTCACTCTCTCGCACTCAGACCGGCCGTCCTTGTTCGTATTGTGGACCCCGTCGCGCATTTCGGCACGCTCTCTCGCACGGCTCGTGGCCCCATAGGGAGCGCGAGCGAAAATGATATTCATAATTGCGGTATTCACAACTGCATATGGTTGGGTCCTTCGCCAGGCTAATTTCTCATACCTCAGATGTCTGGGCCTCGTCTCGGGGAACGGTTCTTCATAGTGAGGGCATTGGACAAGGAATCCAGGGTCTGGAAGCTGGCGGAACACCAATCGTGGATTGGCCATGGATATCGCCGCCGACCTCATCAGATAAAACATCCTCCAGGGTCGGAAGCCCCCCTGGGCACCTTCCTTACTGAACGCCCCCACCGTACTGGGCTGGCTTTCGACGGTCCAGGTGCCCAGCGAAGGCTCCCGGAGGCCGCAGATCGCAGACAAAACCACCTCCAGTCGCAACTTCTGCGCGGCGCGAGGCTGTCAGTGAAGGCGCGCGCGCGCGCGCGCGCTCGCGACCAGCCTTTTCTGTGGCGACTCACGGGAGCCTCCCATGTCATCGTGCTGGCTCTTGCGAATCGACGCTGCCGACGCTAATCGACGCCAGTCGATGCCAACCGACGCGAATCGTAGCCGTAATCGACGGCAATTGATGCTACATCGTCGCCTTCTCATCGACTGCCAGGCGCCAGACGCTAGCGCACGCCTGTGCGTTCTGAGCACGACACATCGAAGACATACAACCAGAGAGACGTAAGACTCGGGTTCGGGGGATTCGGGTTGGCCTCGCGAGGCCGTCAAGAAAATGACGAGTCCAATCTGTAAATTGACGGCGATATTTTGCTGCAAGCATCCCATGAAAACTCCGTCAAAACTCAAGACGGGCCCGTCAATAAAACGTCGGCACATCCGAAATCCGGCGAAATCGAGTCTGATCCGCCACCGTGCCGCTGGGTGTGGGCGTGTCCTCAGGTTCTGTGTCCAATCCTCTAAGCCCCAGTCCTCACTCCTGAAGAGTCTTCAAATGGCCCAGAAACCAAAATGCCAAATCTCACGGAGCTTCACGCGGCTCGGCTTGTCGCTTCACTTTTTCGGAACCAACAAGGCCCCAAAACGGGCCAAGAGGGCCCCAACCCACTCACGGTGGCGGGATGGACCGAAGGCCAATAGATCCGCCGCAGCCCCCCTTGATTTATCACAGGGGTGCCTGGCGTGCTAGAGCCTACGGCTTGGCTTTGGTTCTTTTCCAAAAGAGCTCCCCCTGGGGCTTCGGTCCATGCCGCCGGCCACCCAGAAGGCCCCGCCGCTGCGCAACCAACGTCTCCGCCTCCAAGACGGCCAAGATGGCCTCCAAATTCGCCCAAGATGGTCCAATATGGCCTCCAAGACGGCCGAAGAGGGTCTCAGATGCCTCCAAGTCCGCCCAGGAAGCCACCCAGACGGCCCAAGATAGCTCCAAGAGGTCCCAAAAAGGTCTCCAAGACGGCAGAAGAGGTCTCCAAGAGGTCCCCCAGAAAGCACGACGAGGCCAACATCTTGATGTTGCTAGGGTTTTTCAAAGACTTTGGCATTTGCTTGCTTTCGGTCTTCCGACGGCCCGAGACGGCCCAAGAGTCCCTCAAGATCGCCCCCAGAGCGCCCCAGAGGCATTCAAGATGGCCCCAGCCCCGCCCAAGAGGCCCCCAAGACGGCCCCAAGAGGGCTCGAAGACGACCCAAGAGGCTTCCAACACGCCCAATATGGCCTCCAAGACGGCCGTTCAGCACCACAAGAGGACCCCAAGTCGGTTCAGAGAGGCCCCCAATACGACTTCCGACAGCGTCAGACGGCCCAGGAACGCTCTCAGACTGCCAAAGAGGACCCCAAGCAGCCCCCAAAGGCCCCCAGGCGACCCAAGGAGGCCTCTAAGATGCCTCCAAGAGGTCCCCAGGAAGCTCACAGGAGGCCCCAAGAGTGCCCCCAGAAGCTCCCAAGATTCCCTCTCCTCCTCCTCGTCGTCGTCGTCGTCCTCCTCCTCCTCCTCCTCCTCCTGATTGTCCCCGTCATCCTCCCCCAAGTGTTCCCCGAAGGGTTTCCGTTACAGCTGGAGGAATACATGGTCCGATAGCTTGGCAGAACTCTGGCTGCAACGTTTGGCCACATGGGCGACTCCAAAAGGCGAGGGGCGCCGGTGATTCGCCGTAGTCAATGAAGACGAATACTATTGCTGCTACTATTACTACTACTACTACTACTACTACTACTACTCGTACTCCTACTCCTGCTCCTACTCCTACTCCTACTCCTACTGCTACTGCTACTACTGCTATTGCTACGACTACGACTACGACTACGACTACGACTACGACTACGACTACGACTACGACTACTACTACTACTACTATCACTACCTCTATTACTACCACTACCACTAGTACTACCGCTACTACTAGTACTACTAGTACTACTACTACTACTACTACTACTACTACTACTACTA